TGTTTGAAATAAAGTACATCTGTGGTTGAAGATAAAAATATATAGTCATAAAGAAAGAGTTAAAGAAATTTGGTCTTCCATGTTAGTATGCTTAATCAGGTCAGTGAGAAGTTAATACAAACCACTGTAAGAATCCTATCATGGGATGTTGGCAACTTCTAATAATTGATATTCGAAGTTTAGAGAATAATTACACTTCATACACACTTTCATCTTCTATGTGGAACCTACTAAATAGTCACTAAAATCTGACAAGCACTTAAACCTAAAACAAATTTCACTTATATAGTTCTACAGGCTTGCATTTCAACTATGATGAAAGTATTTTACAGATAAGAATAATTTATGAATAAAAATGTAATTTACGGAATACCTTGCCAGTGAATGTTGATCGCTTCATCACAGTTCAGTCATGTTTAGAAAATCTAAGCAAGCTGTGTGATTACTCCAGGAAGCATGGAATGATGTGTTCAAATTAGTACCATCTGTGGATAGAAAAAAATTGAGGTTTTTAGTCATTCTTAAAGAATGGAAATCTGATTCTCCATGCTAAAATGAGTGTAATCCTTTTTGTATCTGTAATTCAATAGGGCAGTTGCTTTGAAATAGTCTAGTTCAACACACAGTTCATCAAAAGAGAAGATACTACATATAAATGCTGGTCTTTTCTGAATGCCACTGAGGTATCTTTGTTTTAAAAAATTGTGTATGAGTTATGCTAATATATTTGGCTTCAGATTAGATTTATTTCTGGTTTATCTTTCTAAATACATTGGATTGGAAAATGTGGCCAAAATTTTGTACCACTTGAAAACCAAAGGACTGTTTATTCATATAGTCAATACTTATTGTGTGCCCATATGTGCCAGACACTGTGTATCTGTGCAGGGTCCATCATTATGCCTGTCACATGGAAGGCAACTCAATTGCTGATACTCTTCCTTTAGTCAGGCTACAGATAATTCTTCTGTTTCTTTGTCAGGTTAAAGTACTATCCTTTTAGACTTTTTTTGTTTTGTTTTGTTTTCTGCAATACTTATTTGGAAAACGCAAGAGCCTGTGGACCAGTATTGATCTGCCGAAAATTTTTATAGGTAGCAAGTTTTGCCATTAAAGTCTTCATTCCTAAAATCTTAACACTGGAGTGGGGAAAAGTTGGTCATGGAACAACCACGGGCAATTTGTCATCCTTTCTGCTGAATTGGAGAAAGGGTCGTTTCTTCTGCCTTCTCCAGTTCATTGGATAACTAACGCATCCCATTTTCTTCCCACTTTTAGTTGCTTAGTAAACCCTAGGTTGAAGTTGAAACATGAAGTGGTGTTTGTTGGTGGACTCAAAAGAGGGAAATGTCTGGATCATACTTCCTGGCTCCCACTGGGAAAGAGCAGAGTCTATCGTTTTAATGCAAATGAAAAGTCTGTATTAAACTTTTCAAATATCCCCACTGCACTTTATATCCTCACTGCGCTAAAAATCTTGAATCTAGTCCAGAAGGCTCAACATTATCTGATTCTAGCCTACACCTCCAGCTTTCTATCTTCCTATCCATCCCTTGTGGATGCTGCTATGTTCCTAAAGTGTTTCTAATGTGCCGTACTCTTTTCCCCTCAGAATCTTAACACATCCTCATGTTTTTCATCTGGGAAGCTAATCTTATCAGTTCTCTGATTAAATTAAAGCCTTTCTTGACCATCTATCTAAATGAAATCTTAGTTCCTAGAGATGTCTTAGACTGTTTATCTTGTTGGCTTCTTCCAAGCCAACAATGGGTAAATTCTTGTACATCAACTCTGTTTCTTACTTAAAATATGTTGTTTCTTCTTTTGTAATGAGCCAAAGAAAACTCTGTTTTTAAAGGACTCAATCAGGTCCTCTGGATAATCTTTCCCTATTTTATTTATTATTTATTTTTTAAAAGTCTTTATTTCAATTTCAATTAACATACCATACAACATTAGTTTCAGGTGTACAATATAGTGATTCAGCACTTCCATACAACAACTGGTACTCATTACAAGTGCATTCCTTAATTGATTTGGTTTCTTAATTACAGATGAAAATTTTTTCATATCTGCACCTATATCAGGGCTTGGTTGAAAAATTGGATGAAGATGAGTATACAGGGGCCAGGAATCTTGGGGGACATGTACCTACATAAAGGTTAGACATAAAAAGACAAATTGACCAAGATCATCTCTAAACTTCCTTCAAATTATGTTTCTGTCGTCTTCTGATTCATTTGCCAGTTCCATGAATTTAACTACAAAAATAAGTCTAAAATGTATTTCTTACTGCTACCAACGTATTTCTTTTTTTTTTCTGAGCATACCTAGTAGTCTATAAATTTGTCTCTTTTCCTGTAGTGTAATTACCAGACTAGGCTTGATAAAATGTACTTCTGGACATCTCATCTTGACACCAAAATAGCTTTCCATTGCCTGATAAACTGTAAGTTCCCCTAACACAGTATATCCTCAGGTTATTGTGTAGCCTTTCTCTTTGTAATTGCCAATGTGGCCTATAAATCATAATTGAACTTGACTAGATCACATTACCCTCTCTCTAAATCTCTACCTTAACAATCATTAAATCCTATCTCACATGCCACCTTTTCTCTTAAGACTATTCCTGAACCCCAAGATCATTCATGTCTTTGATTTGGGTTAGAATATTTTGAAAATTTGTCTTATCTTGGTCTGAGTTCAGACTTAGTGGCTGAGAGACTTGAATAAATTCTAGAAATGCTACTTTTTATCGAAATTCTATTTTTTAATCAATTCTAAAACTGATTCCTCTATAAGGTAAATTTTCCTTTAAAAAACTTTTTCTCGAATTGCTTTTCTGCATAACTAAAACCAGAAGAGAAGGTATGTTGTAGGCAGTGTATCAGGTATTCAGTTTGTAATCTACTTTAAAGGTTAATGTTCAATTAAATATGCTAAGATTTGATTATAAGTGTTAGTAATGGAAAATAGAGTAATTGAATCTGATCTTATGACTTTCAGTTATCTGCTTCTTGTTTTCCATTGCATTAGACATTTTCTTTTCTTCCTGATTTAGGCAAATATATGTGCAATGTCTATAGATAATTTAGTAAAAATTTAAGAGGAAATTTAAATTTTTAACTAAAGTCTAGACGTTTTTACAGGACTCTAGACTCATGTATCGATCTATCTGACATCTCTTTCTGGATATCTGGTAGGCATTTCAAAGTTAACATGCTCAAAATAAATTCTTAATCACCCTCCCCAAAGCTTACTCCTTCGACATCATCTTGTTAATAATGACTTCATCCTTCTGTTTGCTCAATCCAAAATCTTTAGAGCTTTCCCTCTACTCTCTCTTTCCTTATACTCCACATGTCACACATCAGCAAAGCCTGCCAGCTCCCCTTCAAAATATGTTCAGTATCTGATGCTTCCTTTCATTTCTGCTGCTGTGATCCCCATCACGTCATCATGATCTGTTGTGTTGACATTGCAGCAGCCTACTAATTGCTCTCTCTGTTTATATCCTTATCTCCCTTCAATCTATAATCAGCACAGTTCCTTGGCTTCCTTGTTATTCTTCAAATATATCAAGCACAGTTCCAGCTTAGGGCCTATAATTATGCATTTTCCCCTGCCAGGATGTTCTTTTTTCAAGTATTCCCATGATTTGTTCCCCCACCTTCATCAGGAACTTCATGTCTTCTAATCAATGAGGCCTTCTCTGATTAGTTAGTTAAAAATTTCAAAAAATAAAAATAAAAAAAAAATTTCAATATCTTTGGATCATCTCTGTCTCTTTCTTCCATTCCTTATTTCCCTCCAAGACACTAATCATCATCCAAAATGTGATATACAATACTTATACTTTTATTGTAAATAACTATCCTGAATGTAAATTACACAAGGGCATGAACTTCTATTTGACTTATTCATTGTTTACCCAGCAGATACAATAGCACTTAGCACAAATTAGGTGTTCATTAGATATTTATTGAATCTTGAATTAATATGGTACATTTAGGAATGAATGAGTTATCTAACTCATTTATTTTCTTATTTTTAAGTGTTATTATTACCATATCATTTTTATGAATTATGTAATTTTCATACAAGTCGTTATCATTCTATGTCTTAGTCTTCTGAGCAAAAGCCCTTGCACACACTCAGGGAAAGACATAGTTGAAAAAAGTGCTTATCTCACTTCATTGTTCTTTCATATTACTAACTGTAAGGTGCTTATATTATGTGTTCAATAAATGGTTATCATCTTGAATCCTTAACACCAGGCTCAGAGCCTCACACACGGCATGCAAATAGTAAACCAGTGGTTAATATGAAATCTAATAAATTAGTCCAAGTAGGACCATGTGATTGTAGATGATATACAGATACCTTTGTGTGTGTATTATCAGTTTGCCAGATGATGTTCTAGAAAGTGTTTTGTCAAATTGATTGGTCACTTGGTTTTGTCAATTTAAAATATATGCAAGATATAAAAAATCAAAGAGTTATATAAATTATTAATTCAGCTAATAATATTGTTTATTTAGAATTATTGTATAATCAACATTTACTATATATCAGATGTATTTGTGTCCATCTGAACATTTAAATGTAAGTATGTCTTTCTTGGGAACTGAATCTTAAAACTCAGACAATACCCAGGAGAGTGCAGAAGATTAAATGAGCATATAACTTTCTTTTCTACTAGTGTTTATATATGAAGCCAAAGTAAGTTTACCTGAGATTCGGATGAGTGATTCTGGGAGCAAAATTGAGCATTAATCAAGTCACAGTTGTTTTGTCCTCTACCTTTTGAACTGGTGGCCTCCGAAGAATAATCTTAAGGTTCTGCCCATTAAATGTGGTGATACTAATCTAAGGGCAGTTGTAATAAAAAATTGCCATTAGGTGCATAATAAAGAAATATTTTTGAATCCATTTCTCCCTTCTGTTTAACAATTTTCGGTAATTCTAATTGTTTTCCATTTTTCTCCTTTGTTTTTTAGTTCCCAGTGTTCCCACAAATATTACTTTTTCTAATGTTCAGGCCACTAGTGCAACATTAACATGGATGAGACCTGACACTATTTTTGGCTACTTCCAAAATTACAAGATAACCACTCAACTGCGGGCTCAGAAATGCCTAGAATGGGATTCTGAAGAATGTGTTGAATATCAAAAAATTCAATACCTTTATGAAGCTGACCTAACTGAAGAGACAGTGTATGGATTAAAGAAATTTAGATGGTACAGATTCCAAGTGGCTGCTAGCACCAATGCTGGCTATGGAGATGCTTCAAATTGGATATCTACACAAACCCTTTCTGGTCGTAAGTATTATCTTCTATATATGTTGACACGTTTGCATTCAAGAACAAGCCCTTCGAATGCTTTTCCACAGATCACTCAAAATATAGGTAATGATTGCTCTTGCAACTTTAGTTTTATATTTTAAAACTAACTAGATACCCTACTTGCTTAGACATCATTAATCGTAATTAGCTAAATAAATTTCTATTGCTTATCCTGAACACTATCTACATGGAATTGTAGTGGTTTCCATGAAAAGGAAATAAATAAATATATTTATTTATGAATATAAATACATTTATATTCATGAATATAAATATATATATACTGATATCTATTAAATTGATGATTTTTACATAATATAATTTTGTGTAAAATCACTGAACATGAAAATTACTAAATTAGTGTATTAACCAATGCATATAATAACATTTGTTTTTAATTCAATTGAATCCCAGTGGGAAATTCAATTTCAGATATTATTAGTTAAGGCTTTTCTCAGACTTTCAGAGTTGACCAAGGACTTAGAGTCTTCCCTTGCAATAAAGCATTATGGGCCTCTCTTATAGGCTGTATTATATATATAGCCTATATATATATAATTATATATATATATATGTATATATATATAAAAATTATTATTATATATTATTAGGCTATACTGATTGCCACTGAGCACTCTTTGTTCATGCCTACATTTTCCCTTAATATCTGCTCTGATGCTCTGCTGCTTTTAGGCCAGACTTTACAGCCTTTTCAGTGACTTTAGGCACACACACATACACACACATGCACACGACACAGCTGAGACAGATCTGGCAAACAGCTTTTCAGCTTGTGCTTTATATCCATATAACATTCTGAGGCAAAGAAATACCAATGGTTCAACTCCTAGCTTGAGATGTGAAGAAGGAAAAAAACACAGAGAAGAAATAAAAAATAGTTTCTGATCATTATTTTGCCATCTACACATCTTTATGGACTTTTGTTTCCAAGAAAGAGCTCTTTAAATACTTTTCCATAGAAATCATTCAAAGTGTGGGTAAAAATGCTATTGTAACTTTCGTTTTATAATTTAAAACTAACTGGTTACACTACTTGGTTAGATAACAGGATTAACCATGAGTAGGTAAATTTCTGTTATTTATTCTGAACACTACATAGAATTGTAATGGTTTCCATGAAAAACAAATAAATTTCAAATCAAGTCCTACAAGCCAGAGCTCTGAGGAATGTCTGCACTGCCTGAAATACCATTTCCACCCCAAGCCATCCTGAGCAAATTTCAGGTTGGCCTGGTTACCCAGCTCAGTACCATCCCATGTAAACCATCCAAAGAGCGACCTTATGTTACCATTCTTTTATCTTAATCAAGATTGTTACTAGATTATTCCTTTCAGATTCAAATCACATTTTCCTAAAAATTTTTGGTATCTATAAGTAAACACACACACAGATTTTCAGTGATAAAAAGGTGCTGTTGTAGGCCTTTGTAGATAGAGAAATAAATGTAGTACTAAAGGCTTTATATTTTACATCACAAACTATATTCCCAGGAGTACCCTAGTATAATTTTTATGTAGTAAATTTCCAACCAATATTTGTTCATGCAACTCAACGTTTGAGATAGAATCCAAACAACTCAGCTTTCAACACATTATCACCTCTCCTCCTTGTAGCACTTTGACTCTTAGTTTCTGTAATCTCTGCCCTTCTTGTTTTTCTCTTATCTCCCTGATAGCTCTTTCTTAGTTTCCTTTTCTCATTCCTTTTTTAAATGTAAGTATTGAAGTGCCCAGATATCTATATTTGTACATTTTCTATATCAACACACAGCCCCTAGGAGATCTTACCTTGAAGTGACCTTATCCTGCCCTATGACTTTAAAGTCTGCTGATACAGTGATTATTCTCAAATATTTGTTTCTAGTTCTGATTCCTCTCTAGAACCTCCCTAGGTTACTATATTTGCCTGATCAACTGACATCATTCGACATGTGTATCACATATATCTTTCAAAATTTAATGTGGTCTAAACACCAAACCTCTCATCCTCCAATCTACTCTATCTCAGTAAAGGCACCACTACTCATCTGGTTACAGAAAATGAAAATCTAGGCCATGTTCTTTTCCTTCTCAATTCTTGCCAATGATTTATTTAAACGGTGCCATCTAAACATGTCCCTCCATTTGCACTGCAATTGTACTAATCCTATCCTTCATTACTATTACCACTGCATTAACCTAACTGACCTCCTGAGCTTCCCGGGCTGATCTTTCTAAAACTGAATCAGATGATGTCACTTCCTTGTTTAAAGCCATCTGATGAATTTCCATTGCTTTAGAATAAAATTCAAATTTCTTAATATGATTAACAAAGTCCTGCATGACCTGGCCCTTACCTAACACTCCTAACCTCATCCGTAACTACTTTCCCACTTATAATTACTCACTCTCACACCGGACACTTTTTTCTGTTGCTTGAGCACACTAAACTCCCAGGCCTTGGGCCTTCCACACACTGTTCCTTTTGACTGGAATGTTCTTTGACTTCCATCTCTGTATAAACAGCTTTTTATATAATGTGTATGCCTACTTAAATGATTCCTGCTCAGAATGGATTTCCCTGACCACCCAATTTAAAATAGCTTTGCCATCTTTTTCTAGAATATCATGCTATCTTAATGAGCATTTACAATTATGTAATAGCTTTTCTTTTTTATTTTCTTGTTTTTAGAATCTGTCTTAACTATTGCTATTTCTCATTGCCTAGAGAATGCTGCCTGTTAAGAGTAGGTACTCTATAAATATTTCCTAAATGAGTAAAACTTGAATAGTAAGCTAAAATGGGTAGGGGAGAATAAACTGTTTTCCAGTTCAGGCAATACTGAGGATGATGGTGCCATAACACAGAAAAGGAAAAAAAAAATGGAAAACTCAAATTTGGATTGGGTTTAGTCAGTATGGTTATTTTAAACCTATTGGTTTTGAGAAGAAATAAGTATTCTAATCCAATTAACTAGAAAAGAGAAAGAAATACATGCTCGGAAATATGAATGTAGGAAAAGCTAGGGATTTTAATTTAGTTCCATCAGCCTGGAAAATCACAAGTGAAGATTTGATTAAAAAATTGGACACTGATGGGGTGGTTAAGCGTCTACCTTCCACTCAGGTCATGATCTCAGGGTCCTGGGATGGAGTCTGCTCCTCCTGCTGCCTTTCCCTGCACTGTGCATTCTCTCTCTCTCTCTCTCTCTCTCTCAAATAAAAAATAAAATCTTTTAAAAAAATGGGACACTGACTGAATGGATAAACTTTAGAGTCCTGGGGCAACTGGAAGTTAACTGAAGAGGTACTATAATGAACGAAGCAGGCTGATGTAACGCAATTGGGAATGGTGGAAACTGTGACAAATTAACAGAGATCCTGCTGTCTAAAGGCTTATTACTCTCCTATAGACAAGAGGACAGTTTTTAGAGAAATAGGAAATTTAGATTTTTTATGTGAAAACACTGTTTCTTGCTTATGACAATCTTTTTTAAATTTAAAATCATTTAGTAGTTCAAAATAAACACATCAGGAGCCCAGACCTGGCCTGTGGATGGCTACTTTGTAGCCTTTAGTTAAAATAGACCTTCTACTGCACAGACCATCCAAGGATTCAGACACAGGATTCCCATCCTACTCCTTAACATCATCTTACTTGGATAGTACCTGCTTTTACCTGCTATAGTGAGCCAGCAAGTGGGTTTTTTGAATGCATCATCTCTTTGAGCACTCCAGATATAATGATCAATGTTCAATTAGCATAAAATGACAACATGATTAATTCAGAATCTGCTCAATGAAACTGCGAAGTTGAGTTTTTAAAGAATCTCACATTCTTAAATTAAAATTTAGGAATTTTTCCATTTGAGTGTCATTGCTTCCAACCTAGTCTCCCTTCCTTCTTACCCCCTTTTTAGGTGTGTGATCAACTCACTAGAATTTGGTTACTTTCAATTTCCTACTATTCCATTTTGCTCATTTTGGTCTAAAGGAAATATGATAAAGTATTACAAACTTTTCACAATCAGTGTGGGGTTTTTTTGAGCATTATTTTCCTAGTTTTACCAGTATGTCTCCCATTGTCATTGGTGGTTGGTTGGTTGGTTGGTTAGTTCTTGGTATGATAGAGAAAGTAATCTTGGCTTCTCTTCACCCCAGTTTCCAGGTCTTGACTAATCCACAGAGCACCTCTCTACAAAGTACTAGTTTGTCTTTTATCTGGTACTTTCTTACTCTCTGAATCTAGTAATTCATTGCCACAATTTGAATTCACTATCAGACAATACTTGAGTACAGAAGATATTTATCAATATTTAAGTAGGTTGTCTATACTACTCCTATTCCCTTTCTCTTTTTTCCCCTCTGCTTGAGAGCTAATTTTCTACTCTGTTGTTTATCAGTAGGATAATAAAAGTTTTCCTATTTTAGTTCCAGAGAATACATGGAAAGTGCCTTTCTACCACTGTGATTAAGAGAGAAAAGTAAAAAAGTTTATATATTTCAGAATTTGTGACAACATACATATGATTTTTCTTGGCATTTGCAAACTTACTAGCTTTTCATTTGAGTATTCTTTGGGGATAATTGTGTAAGTTATGAGAATGAGTTGATTACCCCTTTTTAGTCTTAGGAATTGAGAGGACATATATACACACACACTATATACACACACACATTTATATCTGAATTTCATAATTGTACAGTAAAGGAAAATTATATTTATTATATTAAGCCCAGGAGAGATAATCTGAAATTGCATTTGATATGGAAGAAGGAAAGGGGTACCTGGGTGGCTCGGTGAGTAAAGCATCTGCCTTTGGCTCATGTTGTGATTGCAGGGTTCTGAGATTCAGCCCCATATCCCCGCATTGGGCTCCCTGCTCAGCAGAGAGTCTGCTTCTTCCTTTCCCTCTGCTTCCTTCCCCTGGCTCATGCTCTTGCTTGCTCTCTCTGTCTGTCTCTCAAATAAATAA